GTCTCAAATCATTTCAGTCGGGAGGGACCCAATCCTGGTGCTATTTATTAGGTCTAAAACTCCTTTAAGGCCTCGGGAACCAGTAAAATGCGGTATTTCAGGAGAGGACGGGGGGAAGGGAAGATTCGCTAAATTTCCTCCGGCGAAACCCGTGTACGTTAACCATACACCGCCCCTAGTTGATGCACACGAAACTACTCTCAACAGAAAATGATTTGAATTGACGTACGCTTTCTACTTTTACTAACATGCTTAACACAATTAATTTAAATTTAATGCATACCAATTACAGTTATCACAATCTTTGTACTGGCTACGTCCAACTGTGGTAATGGTAAGAAATGTACAGGACTTAATGAACTTACCATTAAAATAATTTTAAATAATTTCACCACTTCTGCTAATTTCTTAATTCTAATTTTCTCCCTGATTCCCCCTCCTATTTCAATATACCTTTCTTTGAGTTGAAACCGTAGGTGGATACGCCCCCCCCCCGTCTCCCACAGCTGCAAAGGCACCGGGCTGCAAAAGCCCGAGTCTGAAGCTAAAACTAAAGTAAACCAAAGCTTAAAGTAACTCCAAGTAGCAGTGTTACAACTCTATCCCTAGTTTCTGATGGTTTTAGGGTAGGAGGGGACTCTCTTCCCCACCTCCCCGTCGCCTCTCCCCTCCCTTTTTCCCCCAGGAGCCTGCCCTGGATCCGCCTATGATTAAATCTAAGTGTACGGGATTTAATTTCACAAAGAATCTCCACCCAGACAGTCCCCGATCAGCGACCGATCTAATATATTATTAAAAATAACAAATAGCACCGTGCCTGACAAACGTGATAAGAACAAACATTTTGGCAAAGTCCTGCCCTAATCATACTTATTGCTAGGAACAACCGCTATTCAACAAATTGATGTGTGCACTACTCTTGGAAATGTTCTGACTCGGTTTTTATGCGTTTTTGCGCGTTTATGCAAATGCGAGAACGCAGACTGCAACGACCCATGGTGCGTATGTATGTGTGTGTATGCGTGTATGTGCATGTGTGTGTATGTGTGTGTATGTGTGTCCAGGTATTTCAGCTCGACGACCAAATAAGCTTTGATGTTGAAATTCTGCCAATGGTTTTGCTGGCCATGCGTGACTTTAGTAACCTGGCATTAGCTTTCACACACGTCTGTCTCACGTACGGGCATATGAAAGCCTTGGTGGGGAAACGCTAACTCGAGAACTAGCTTTTCTAGTGAAATTTTAAGGGGATGTTCCCCGTCAGCGAGTAATTTAAGAATTTCAAATTTAGTTCCTAAATATGCCTAGTTCCTACTGACGTAAACATGAAAGTTTTAGCGGGAAAACTGCTAACTCGAGAACTGGAACAGCTAGGTCATTTTTTGTGAACGATCGGTCAACCTAAATTATTTTCCTTCATGCAAAACTTACCGTAATGAGTGCGTAAGTTAAATGTAAAGCTACAACTTCTCTTGCTGTTAACGATCTGATTGCTTCAAGATTTGCGCAAAAACGCATGATAGTACCGGGCAAGCCTGATGCGTAACTATCTAAATTAAGGAAGAAACCTGCACTACATACATACGCACACATACACATATCCACATACATACAGACAGACAGATATACACACACACATGCACACACCGCACAGGGTCTTGACAATATGAGTTTCTGCATTCCATTAGTGTTGTAAAGACAAACAGTTAGCTAAAATGAGCTAAGTAATGGCAAGCAGTAAGCGAGAAGTCATCGCAGAATCACCCTAATCATCGCAGCCCCCCTCCCCCCTGATTTTCTCCAGCCCAGCCTAGCCAAATCGAGTACTAGCAGCTACCTTATCCATCTACCCAGGACGCCCGCTTCTCGAACCATGGAAGTGGACGACGCAGCGAAGAAGAGTCGAGACAGCTGCCTGGCCAAATCGAATAAAACAAGTCAATCGCACTGGGAAGGACAAAGGGAATAGGCGCCAGCAGATCAAGGGACAAAGGGCAGGGAGGAAGAAACATCAGGTTTGATGGGTGAAGCGACGGCTTGAAACAACAAGCGCGAGAGACTGGACCAGCATATGAGGGTGCGGTACCATTATCTGAGAAATCAGAATCATCCAGCAGAGCTTTGGGGGCATTGAGTTTTGCAGCAAGCGTGAGACTTCATGGACCAAAACATTTCTTGCCTATTACATATATTTCCTCAGCCCCCTTTCCCATCTTACCACCCTTTTCATCGTTTTCTTTACTTCTTGATATTTTCTCTTCAACGTTTAGTGGGACTTTTTTTGCAGTGGATGTGTTTACTAACAATTCAAAGTCTGTTTTTATGCGTTTTTGCTGTGCAACGCTATAACGCTACTACAGTGAGCAAAAAGCATATTGTAGAGACGAAGTCTGTCTGTGTTCGGAAGCGACTGAATTGTGTCACCCACTTTCAACTCAGCAACCAGGAAAGCTGGGAGGCAAATATTTTATCATGAGCAAAGTGCTTCTGAGAGAACTACTGAATTCGAGAAGAGATGAGCGTCAGGACAACCAATGGAATGACCACTCAGCGAAACAAGCAGCGTTGGTCAAAACGACTGGACAAACGTCGGTTACATAAATGGA